AAAGGCTCGGACACAGCTGAGCTCACGGTAGCTCGACCCCCTTTGCAGCAAACAAGCCATGATCCCGCTCTCTGAATCACGTCTGGGCTTCTCGTCTTGATCCCCAAGGCTCGGCACCGCCAGACATTGGGGGAAATGCCTGTTCCTAGATCTTACTGCCCTCCCCTGCCAGCCCTCCGCCTCGGCCTGTCTCTGAACCGTTCCCCGTTGTAGTAGCCTGAGCTCGCCATCGCACCTTCCTCCCCCTGCTGCTTAGGTCTAGAACAGCCTCCTGCCCACCCTCCCTGGTACTCGAGCTCTCAGGGTAGGCAGTGCCATCACGGCAGTCTGGGGCCCCCCAGCCAGAAGGACAAAGAGAAGAGCCCAGGGCCCTAGGAGCATGGAGAGAGGTGAGGAATGAAGGGGCCTTGGATTCTGGCTGAGCCCGCGGCCCCTGGGAAGGAGATGGCACGGCCTAGAGGTCAAGGGGCACCGTCGTTACGGTACAGGACGGGGGGCAATATGGACAGTGCAGGGGATCCGAAGGGACAGCACATGTGGAGTTGTGTTGGCCACCTGGCTTTTGGGGAGACCCAGCCCCGTGCAGCACAGTGTACACAACGAATCCCAGCCTCAGCACCACTCCGGACCCTTGCCAGCCTCCCATGTAGGGGGCGTGACCGAGAAAAGTGGGTGTGGCTATGAAAGGGGCGTGGTCACGAAAAGGGGCGTGACCAGGAGTACATGAGTGCCCAGCTGCCTGCCCAGCCCCTTGAGTCAAAGTGCATCCAGCACCACTCTCCATTTCTCTTGGCAGCCAGTCCTGAGCCCAGTAGCCTAATTCAACACGCTGGTCATATGCTATGGTTCCATGGCCAGTTACCCTTTTTCCTGCCTGGTGTCCCACGGGCCTTCAGGACAGGTGCACACAGTGGGCGAGCCCTGCTAGAGGTAATGCCAGGAGTCGATTTCACCGGTGCGTTACTGTTTTAATCATGACAGCTGCTCTGTGTCCCCCCAGCATTCATGACACTAGGGTGTATGGATCTTGCACTGATTGAAACTGACAACCAGTCACTGGGCCTGCTTAGATCTGCTGAGACTCAGCATGATCTGGCACAAGTGCCTCCGGCTACCCTTGGCAAAGGATAAACCGAATTAGCTGGGCCAAATCCAACTCTCTGCATTGATGGACAGCTGATGTTCCAGCTGAATGCAATACAGGATGGCTGTCATGCCAGCTGGATTTGGTCTCTGGCCCTGTTCTGCAAGAATTCATTGGGAAAATAACAGGAGCTGAGAGAGCTCATTGATGATTTGGCTGCTGCAAAGTGCAGGCAAAAGGCAGGGAGAGAACTAGATACAGGGGGTTATGTACAAGATAGGGACTGTAGGTTTGTTCTTAAGTTTAATCTGTATGTAAGTCGGAACTGGCGTCAGCCGCTGCTGAAACTGACCGCCAGTTCTGACTTACATACAGATTCAACTGAAGAACCCCAAGCGTCCCCAAGTCAGCTGCTGCTGAAACTGATCAGTGGCTGATTCCAGGAAGCCCCAGGCAGAGTTGCCTCGGGC